CCAAGGCAACAAAGGAGTGGCTCAAGAAGAAGCACATTAAGGTCATAGAGTGGCCTAGTCAGTCTCCAGACCTCAATCCTATAGAAAATCTGTGGAGGGAGCTGAAACTTCAAGTTGCCAAACAACAGCCAAGAAACCTTAAGGATTTAGAGTGAATCTGTAAAGAGGAGTGGACCAAAATCCCTCCTACGATGTGTGCAAACCTGGTGACCAATTACAAAAAATGTCTTACCTCTGTGCTTGCCAACAAGGGTTTTTGCTCCAAGTACTAAGTCATGTTTTGCTTGGGGATCAAATACTTATTTCACTCACTGAAATGCAAATCATTTTCTAACCTTTATATAATGTGTATTTTCTGGATTTGTTTGGTTGGTATTCTGTCTCTATCCATTAAAATAAACCTACCATAAAAATTACAGACCCTTCATTTTTTTGTAAGTGGGCAAACTTATAAAATCAGCAGGGGATCAAATAAATATTTTCCCCACTGTAATGCTCCATAAAAGCCGGACTAAATTATGCCTGTTCTGACCCACTTCAGCCCTCAGTATCAAAGTGTATGGTTATCATTGCTGTGTAAATGCATTTATGCCACCTCTGAGCAGCATTAAACAGTCTGTGTAAAGACACCTAAATGCCTTTAGAAGTGCTTCTGTTCCACCTTTGCTGTGTATTTGGCATTATATTTAGTTTTTCATACTTAATGTAACTCTTGTTGTCATAGCTATGTTGAATGATTTTGTTAGCTCAATTGAAGTGTTCTTTATGGTATTACATTTTCCAGGGTCTTCCTGGACCAAGGGGAGGAATTGGGCTCCCAGGCCCACAAGGACCTCCAGGATCACCAGTAAGACCAGCTTCTGCCATTTACATATTTAGCATTTTACATATTTCAAATGATTTCTTACTAACTTACAAGAAACGACTACAGTAATGGGCTTAATTCAGTTTAGTCTACATATTTAGCTTTAATTTGCATTAAAATATGTGCCTATATATATGTGTAGTATAATGCATGTATATATACATGGGGTATGATTTGTATAAAAAAAATAAAAAAGGTAGACATTTGGACAATGTAGAAATGCAGTGTAGTTTTTTTATAAAATTAACAGTAAAAAGGCAGAAAATAATTGTTTTAACTGAACTAAATTTAATTTTTTAACACTGGACTATGCAGTTATTTTTGCAATTATTTGTTATTTACAATTTGTTTACCCCATGAGATATTAAGATAACATTTTGAACACATTTCAGCATCTATCTTGACAAATTTGTATTTTTTCTTTCCATCAGTAATTTTTACTAGGCAGCTTGTGACACTGAAAATCGATAAAATGAAAATCTGTTTTTGTCTCACAAAAGTGATATTGCAGGAAGGACTTTGTACACATTTTGTATTAGACAGACTACATTTCAAAACCATATGTCTGCTAGATGTTCATTTTATCAACTTTAAGCAGTACATTATCATGTAAGTTACCAAACAGATGCATAACTCCAATTTTGGCTTTTGAAGTTCTGCTAATTGACTATCTCTTATATATATTCAAATTCACTTTTTGTTTTTATACATTCCAAGACATTTTGAGTCTTTTCGTCCCTTCTGTTAACCCTTACTTTAACTGGGTCAGGTGACTTCTGTTGGCTTTCAGATGGTTTAGAACTAATGCAGAGCTTTCACACACATCTGTTCTGAACGCTGTAACGTTTGAGGCTTTTAAAAGGGGTGTGTGTCTGAATCTAAACTACACTTCTGTCATTCTGCTGTCCGTAGGGGCCACAAGGCGCTGGGAACCCTGAGGGAAGTGGGGAGACTGTGAGTGCTTGTTAGATTTTAATAATATTAATGTTTCACATGGACACACAGAACCTGCACATCATCATTCAAGAAATGTTCAGTACTATGAAAAAAATATTTTCCCCTAAGTTCTGGCAAAGGCCTAGATCTTACAACACAAAGAGATTCAGTATGCGACATATAGAACTTGAAAAATGTCAAAGTGCACTATATCTGCTCTATAATTTGTAGGGCTGGGTAGAAAATATTGAATTCTCGATTTTGATGAACCGATATCGATTCTTAAATCCCAAGAATCGATCTATGCTGTTTTCATTGGATGCGTGAACAAAACTTAATGAAACGTTATTTGTAGCGCTCCTCCCATCCACTAAATCCCAATAAGCTTTTTGCTTTGTCAGTTTTGATATGAAAAAAAAGTCTCAGCTTTCTAATTCTGTCAATTGTATTACAAAATTCAAACAGTAAATAGCGTTTTGGCACTCTTTAATGTGGCATAACAGATCACTGTAGCTGCCTCACTTCAAGCGGCATGTGAACCGATCATCTCTTCCTCTTTACTGCTAATTATAGCACCAAAAGAACATGAAAAAACATCAGAAGGTATGTTGAAAGAAACAGTATAACTTCCCGAAATGATATTAAACTCAATAGTTAGAATAGTTAGTTCTATTTTTACTTAACCTGTTCTTCAGTATTTAATCTGTGTTTAAATATATCCATAATCAAAACAAGTTATGACATCCACTGTTTAAATATTTATATTTCAACAACAAACTGGAGTTGAAAAGTAATAATCCTTAAAAAGTTATAATATATATATATATATATATATTTCAGCATCATTACTCCAGTCTTAAGCGTCACATGATCCACATGATC